GACAAAAAAGGCACGCAATGGTTAGCTTCAAAGGCATTTATTTTGAAAACACCGGACGGAAATCCCTGTTATGTGCCGTTGCTTCTCCGCGCTCCCGCGTTGTTTTGGGAACATTCGGTTTCACAGTGAGCACGCGCTTCCCGGACCGTAGCTGCCCGTCATCGCTGGCGCTGACATCACACGGAGGATTTGCTACAATGTCAAACACTCACAAGCAGCGCGAGCTCATGGCTTCCCCGCGCCACAATGACAAACACCGCCGCGTCCTGCTGCTCATCCTCTAAATACTACACAACTACGACCACCGTCCATGGCTTTATTCCGCGATTTTGGACAGGATGCGTTTGAGGTGAGACGGGTCACTCAGTTCTTTTCTAAATTACTGCTTTTTACTTGTAATTCATTTAGTTTATTTCGCAATGTTTTTAATTGAAAATTGTAGTTGATGTTTGAATTCTTGTTTGTTAAAAAAAATTAAAACCTTTAAACGCAGACGGCGTGTTTCCCCGTATCTTTATGGGAAAAGTTCCCCGGCTCCCTAACGTTGATTGCTGTGCTATTACGTAATGGGAGTGCGGACACTGCTGAACGGATTTACAGTGAGGTGCCGTGATGACACAGCTCGCGGTTTGCGTAGTAAAGACAGCGTCATATTTGCACACCCCTGTAACACCAAGTTTGTAGCCAAATAACGCATTTATCCCCTCACTGATTCACTCAAAGCACAACACTTCACGGTTTTCCAGGCTGTTAGTTGACCCAGCTATGACTGATTTATTACTGTTTTTTTTAAAGAAAAAAAGTCATTTAATTACAGGTCCTCATTGAACAAATACATGCTAAAAACAGAAGAACATTTAAGTGATTTGTGCTTGTATTTTTAGCTGGAAAATATATAAATGTCTAATGTTGCTACTGATGTTGCTCATACTTTTATAATATCTGCAGTGCTGTGAAAATGCATGTACTCGCTTTCTGATTTTTTCCCCTTATTTGTCATGCTTACTTCTTTTAGATCATCAAACACATTTTAACATTACACAGCGATAACTGATTAAAATAAAAAAAATGAGTTTTTTAAATGATGACTTTATTTATAAAAGTAAAAATAAAGCTATCCAACCCCTGTGTGCAAAACTAATTGCCCCGCTTTGTTAAATCATGTTCAGGTTCATTAGCTACTGCCAGACCTGGCGAATCAAGAAATCACTTCAATAGAAGATGTCTGACAAAATGAAGCAGGCTCAGATCTCAAAAAGCAACACATCATGTCCTGATCTAAAGAAACAGCTGATAAACAAAGTCATTGACATCTGTCAGTCTGGAAACAGTTACAAAGCCATTTTTAAGGTTTTGGGACTCGAGAACAGTGGAACACTGGTGAACCTTCCCAGGAGTGGCTTACCAAAATTACTCCAAGATCACCCGGACGACTCAACCAGGAAGTCACAAAAGACCGCAGAACAACATTAAAGAACCGCAGGCCTCACCTGCTTCAGTTAAGGTCAGAGTTCATGATTCAACAATAAGAAAGAGAATGGGTAAAAATCAGACTGCATGGGAGAGGTCAAGGAGAAAACCACTGCAGAGCAAAAAGAACACAAAGGCAGGTCTCACATTTACCAAAAATATTTTGGTGATCCTCAAGAGTTCCGAGAAAATATTCTGTGGACTAATGAGACAGAAGCTGAACTTTTTAGAAAGTTTGAGTCCTGTTACATCTGCAAAAAACTAACACAGCAATTCATGAAACAACATTATACCAACAGTCAGACATGGTGGTGGTAGTGTGATGGTCAGGGCTGCTTTGCTGCTTCAGGACGACTTGTTGCAACGGATGCATTTTGTATTTATTCTGGTTCTCTTTGTCTAATATTAGAATTAGTTTGATGCTCTGAAACATGTAAGTGTGACAAATATGCAAAAAACAAACCCTAAGAAATCAGGAATAGGGTAACTACTTTTAGTCACTCTGTTGTTTTCAGCACATTGCTAAGTATCAGCATCAGAAGAAGACACCGAGTATAAGGTGTTCACGGTTAAGTGATGACAAGCTTTGAACCTGACTGTGTGCTGTTTGTGCGTCTCAGCAAATCTATGTGAGTGCGTGAGCCAGGTCAGAGGTCATGTTGCGGAGGGAATCCGACTCCCACGGCCTCTTTACCTTCGGAGAGACGTCCGACAATGACTGTGAGGTGAGGCTGTTTATTTATACCTGCTACCGGCGTACCTCTTAGATCTGCATGTGGCTCTAAAGTAGGCTGCAGTTGACACAAAATGTAACCGAAGGAACCCACAGGTCCAGTTGCTGAACACGTAATAGCCCAACTTTTTGACTTAATTGTGTTATTTTTTTTCCTTTTAATAACTCTAGTGTTCAGCACTTGGCAGTCAAGCATTTTTAAGTGAGTAGGCAGATAATGTCAAAAGCCAGAAATCTCTCCTCTGAGCCGTTGACAGAGATATGAAAACTTTTGCCAATGATATCCAACAGCCAGGCTCATCCCAGGTCATGTGACAGTGATATTGCTGTACCTTATGTAAGTTTGTACAAGCTTCTTACTCCTTCCCTTTATCTCTGTCATTATGCTGCTGTCTAAGGATAAAAGGGACCAGAAGCTTCATCAAGTCAGCAGATCACAGTTGTTTATCCTCCCTGTCTTTGTCTCTCTGTCTTAGATGGGGGTGAGTTGCAGAGAGGTAGATGTAGCGTGTCTGTGCGAGGCCGGTCCCTGTACACTTTATTCAGAAGCACACACGCCTACGCCGGTGAGTGCTCAGGCTTTCCACTTAAGTGTCTGTGGCCGTCGCTCAACCCGCTCAGATCTGAGAGTGTTTCTTCATCTGTAATCAGGCTCTAAATGCTGCCCGACGACCTCTCTGCATCTTTGTCGCTGTCCTGTTTTATTTTAAAGTACCTGTTCACAGATATCGACGAATCACGTGTTAGCTTTTCGTTTTGTTTTTTTTTCGAGATGTGAATCTAATCAGTAGGTCTGTCTCTCTTCCTGCTTTCTGTTCTCAGGACACGCGGCTGTGTGAACGCTGTGGAAAAAACAAAGTGATGGTAACCAGGTACTCTGAGGGATACGGCACAGAGGTAATGTGTAGCATATGTGTGCGTGTCTTTATGACAGTCCTCTGTGTGCAGCTACTTAATGCTGTTGCAAAGCGCTGTGTGTGGAGTCCAGATATGTAACACGTTATAAGACTTTTTGATATTTGTGTTGATTTCCTGGCAGGCAGCTGGCATTTTTGTAGGCTTTTAAGATTCCAGCTTGTGAGCAGTACATGAGTAATACCAGGGTTCACTTAGGCCAGATGATTGATGCTCATGCCACAGATAGACATTTTCAAAAAGGATTTTCAGTCTCTTAAAACTAGGGTTGGACCATTTATTGCTAACTGATATACAGCACTGTGCAAAAGTCTCGAGCCAGCCCTAACATCTCTATATTTTGTCATATTTTGAGGCAAATACTGAAACTTTTCTGACAAAGTTGTATTTTTACTCAGTTGTATATAGAATTTGTGTTCTATTTTTATCCTATTGTATATTTTATTCTATTTTATTCTACTGTATATAGTATTTTATTTTATTCTATTCTATTAAAATATAATTATCTATTTCTATCTTATCTTAACATGCACAAACTTACAGGTAAATACAGCATATAAATCAAAAACAGAGCTTGAAAGTCAATATTTGGTACGACCTTTATTTTTCAACGCAGCTTGAAATCTCTTAGACAATCTTTCTTTAATTAATTTTTGAATAGTTCTCCAGGCTTCTTGAAGGACATTCAAAGTTCTTCTTTGTCCTAGATCAAAATCTCCAACACCATTGGCTGAAATGCAACACCAAGCCATGATGGAGCCTCCGCCGTGCTTCATACACGCTCACTTATCATCATCATCATCATCATCATCATCATCATCATCATCATTTATTTATATAGCACTTTAAAAACACACCTGGTAGACCAAAGTGCTGTACAATACTAATATGCATATAGTAATAAAACCAGACATAGCAATAAAATGTTAAAAAAACAAAACAAACAAAAAAACTTATGTTCCTCTCTCCTGACTTCCTCAAAAACAAACAAACAAACAAACAAAAGTTGGATTCCTCAAAAGTTGGAACGGTTGCTATTGTTTTTCAGTTTGGCTCTTGCTCTGGTTAGATTTTTAGGCCTGACACTTCTTCTGTCCTCTACTTGTCTAGCTTCCACAGATTTTTTTAAAGGACATCCAGTGTTATGCCAGGTTTTTGGGTAATAGCTCTTTGGGAATACCCTTTTTGGTGCACAAATAGTTTATTTCCTCTGGAATCTTGCAAAGATTTCACAAATGAGTACAAGTTTTGTGTTTTGTGACAGGCTGCGAATACCAAAGTGTCAGCTACTGGACAGACAGAAAGAGGGGAAAAACCAAAGAAAAACTGTGGAAGAGCTCCAGAAAGGCTGGAGTACTGTTGCTCAAGACCACTTTAAAAAATAAAATAAAAATTCTGGCTCTTTAAAGCAAAAAATTTAAATTAGGAGGGACTCCAGATTTTCGCACAACTCAGTATAATTGGCTAATACGTATCAAAATGGAAATAAGCACCGCAAATATTTTAATCAGTGAGGTGGGTGATTTGATTCGTGATACAGTTTTCCTGAATTGATGGTGATAATGCTACCCTGACATGAAACAATATCCAAGATAAGGGGAAACATGAGCAATTTACCAAACAAGTCAAATATAATGAAATCATTTAATAAAATGCCTTTATCTGTTTACTGTAGCCTGAACTTAAAACTAGCCTGAACTAGGTATCTTGTTTAGCAGAGTGCAGCTGTTCTAACATGCTGTGCTGTCAGCGTTAATCTCGTTAAAATTACATTAACACCATAACCACATTAACGCTGCAAATCTCTGTTAGGGAGTTATCGTGGAGCACCTTGTGTGTGGGGCTGCATGGTGCTAATGAGTGAACAAGCTAACTGCGTTGACGCCATGCAGCCCCACGCAAAGTGGGGCCCCACGAAAGTGATTTTTTAAATGCTAAAAACATTAGTTTGTCTATGCTGTTTATATTTTTAAAAAGTTATCAATATTTGGTATTCTTAAAAAAAATCACAAAATATTGCAGTATTGTGTTGTACGAAAATCATTGCTGTATCCCTGTCAAGCAGCAAGCTGCTATCCGATTGTTCAGTCTGACGTCACTAGCCGTGTCTGGACCTAAACTCTGCTGCAGGTCCATATATCAAACGATCACTATGGCATTACTGAGAGTTGAAAAACTGTCTAAAGTCTTTCATCTTTAATAAAATGATCAGCGTTCTGCTCTACCAGGAGTAACAATTGAGTTTAACATCCAGGCATCCGTGAAAACGGAATTTATGACATTTAACGAAGTTAGAAGTTAGCAGGGAGTTAGCTCGCTAGCGTCTATCTAAATACAATATAGCATGTCCTGACTGCGGGGATTTGGAAACAAATTAAAACGTACAGCTCTGTTATCACTTCCAGCATAAATGAAGACAGAAAACTAAACAGCAGTGACGTTTGTAGGGTTACTGAAGTTGGGCTAGCTGGTATATAATGATGTGCTACGTGACCGCTAGTGACACAGCTATGTTAGCATAATAAAAACAAGCTAACTTTTTTTTTCCACTCGATAAAAGTTAACGTGAGTGTTCTCGGTGGTCAGGAACAAATGTAATCGCATGGCAGGATGCTGTAAAAGGACCAAACTTCAGCCAGGAGAACAACTGAGATAATCCATCCACAATACGAGGTTAGTCATTCATATACTGCTGCATGGGCTGGGCTGTAGTTACATCCTAAGGTTTTAAAAACTGAGCTTAAATAAATGATTAGTGGTAATAAAAGCCGAGGGAGGTCAACAGTGATCACTGACTGTTTTAGGAGCTTTTTGAGATCAAATATAAGAAAATACATAACATTAAACATGTTAACAACACAAAAGCCATATTAAACGCAGACTACTTTAGGCCCAGAAGTAGGATTCGTCACGTCATCACTGAACAACCGGATAGTTGTGTCTGCACCCACCTGCTCATTTGAGGCCACACCCTCAGTCAATGGAAACTGCAAGCCTTGCTATAATTTAAACCCATGAGTTATATTAAAAAATGGAAATGTAAGGCAGTCTTGAAAAGGGAGATTTTGTTTTTTGGTAGCAGGCTGTAACAATTTATAGTTGTGTTGCAAAATTAGCCATTTTAACATAGGGCGCTGTGGTGACTTGCTTTTGGATTCAGCCTCAAGTGGCCATTACAGGAACTGCATTTTTTGGCCAGAAATAAAAACACACAGCACATTATGTTAATAGCTCATTGTTTTTTGTGTTTTTTTAAAATGCTAAACTTATATTTTCAGTACAGAGTGGCAGTAGTTCTTGTTACTATAATATACAGTTTAGTATTCAGTGATATATTTTGTGTTCTGGAATAGGAACCTTTAGACAAATCAATGATTTTTGAGTTATCCCCGTTATTCAGTATCTATCTATCTATCTATCTATCTATCTATCTATCTATCTATCTATCTATCTATCTGTCTATCTGTCTGTCTGTCTGTCTGTCTGTCTGTCTGTCTGTGTGTCTGTGACAGAAAGAGGTAAAAAGACTGGTACTGTTGGGATATAAATACTCTCTGACTTCATTACGTTATGGATAGAGGTGTGAGCTGATTCATGCTTAATAACAATGGTGGTAATATAAAAAGTGACGCATTAGCACACTCACACAGACAAATGCCATCATCAAGTGGTATTTGGTTTCACAAACTGTGCTGGTCTGTGATGAGTCACTGGGATGTATGTGTTTCTTTCATTTTAAAAACTCAAAAAATTGAAAACACTTTTGTATTTGTCATATTTTATCCCAGCTTAATGGCTGCTAACACATTCCTCTGTGTTTCTGTTGGTTATTATATATTTTTTCTTGTCTTTTTCGCTCCATTGCAGGAGGAGTGTGTGTTATCTGACCCTCAGGGGGAGAGTGACGCAGATGCGGATATAGAGGATACAGACTGCAGGTCACCGACGCGTTCATATTCACACAGTGTGCTGCGCTGTACCTTACTGTATCTGACCTTGTGCCTTTGACTCAATTTGTTCAGACTCCAGGAGCCTGGTTCTCTCCAGCGAATCAGCTCACGGAGACGGAAACGTCCTCGAGTAGCGCGACAAGACACCACAGAGAGCGAGGATGATGGCGGGCGAAGCCATAGATCCCATCGATGGAATCTGAGGCTTAGTCCTGACAGAGCACACAGCAGAACCATACTCGAGGTAAGAAGAAATAAATAAAAACAAATCAAAATCAAGCAATCAAGATGTGATTGTGGTGCAGACCTTCAGCTTTAATTCAAGAGGTTTTTATTCAAATTTGCATTAATTTTATGCATTTAGTTGAATACTCCAAAAGAGTGTTTCACTCGGTTGACATCAGGTCACCGTAGAAAATTCAATTTCTTTGCCATGAAAAACTTTTGCAGCCTGCTTTGTATCATCCAATCAAGCTTGCAGCATTCGGTTGAATCTGAGCAGAGAGTATAACCCCCTCTGCACTTCAGAATTCGTTGTCCTCTTCTATCAGCAGTCACATCATCAATAAACACGACATAGACAGTGTATTCATGTCATAACACTGCCTCCACCGTGCTTGACATACTAACTTTTCCCCTTCTCGTCCATCATTGTGATAAAAGTCAGTCTTGTTTTTGTCTGTCCAAACATATGTACACTTGGCTCTTTCACATGTTTTCTGAGGCTTGAGCCTGTAGCCAGTGGTTTGCACCTCATTGTAAACATCTGTTTCCATTAACAAAAGCATCTTTTGATTGGAGACCCAATGATACACCTTCCTGCTTGAGAGTGTTCTCGACTTGTTTAGATGTTGGGATGTTTTTTCTCTTAACCATTGAAATAATCCTGCCATCTTGCACTTTTAGTCATCTTCTGTGGTCCTTCAGGCCTTCTGCTATTGGTATCAATTATTCATTCATATTTGAAATTCACAAAAATTCAGATATCATGTCTGCTTTATTTGTCATGAAATAACGAGCTGCTTGTCAGTCAGTTGTCCAATTATACTTGAGCCTTTGAATCAGTGTTGCCAACTCCTCAGTAAGGAAAATCGCTATTGGCTGTCCTAAAAGTCGCTAGAAGTCGCTAAATGACGTCATCGCCTAATTTGCATAATTGATCATGCTAATCTAATTGTAACCTATGTTATTGGAGAGAGAAATAACATCGTGGAAGAGACATAAAGTGAGTAAAAAACGTCCTAAATGCATTTAGAGTTTATTTATAACTACAAATTAAATTTCTTTTAGCAATTATTGTTTTTTTTAATGTCACAATTCCAACCCTGCTCCTTTACCCGGGCTTGGACCGGCAAAAGTGACCCGAAATAGGCACTCTGGTGGAGTTACTTTGTGTGTGTGTGTTTATAAGTAGTTTTAAACCTTGTGATCCACAAAACAGCATAAGAGTAAAAGAGTAAAAGAAGTTACAGCACCCGCTGCTTGTTGAGAGTAAAAGCGAAACGCGCTGTCACGTCTTAAGGGGTCTGAAAACTCGCTAAATATAGTGACAAAGTCGCTAAGTTGGCAACACTGCTTTGAATATGGCTTAATCTTTATAGAAATGGTAAAGCAGTTAATACAGTACTTTTGTTAAACCCCTTGAATTAAAGTTGAAAGTCTTGAATATTGATTGTTTGATTTTAAATCTACTATGTGGTGTACAGAGAGAGAAAATTGCCCCCTGAAAAGTGTCATTATCCAAATACTTTCTGACTCACTGAATGCACAGAATTTTCCAGGTTCATACTATTACTTCCCTGTTGCTTTAATTAGTTACTCTGCTCATTTAGGGTCTAAAAATGAAGTACAAACAGCGAAATTGAGGTCTATCTCAGTTCTCTCCTGCGTCTGCCTTTCAGGAGAGCATATCACAGGTCAGGCCACTGATCATTTGCAGGCCAAACGTGGAGAAGCAGAAGAGTCCTGATGAGGTGACCCGAGGCTCCAAACTGACGTCTCTGTGGCCGTCGTCCTTCTCTCTTCCTCTTATCCTCCTCCTGTCATTACCTCTCTCTGTTTCTCTCATTGTTTTTATCGTGTCTTTCCTCCTTCCGTGGGCCAGTGCTTGACCCCCGCCATGCCTGCTTCAGGATATTAGTTTCATTCCAGAAATGACAGAAAGTTCTACCGACTCATATAATGTAGTGAATAGCGTAATTTCTTTATGAACAAGTAGAAAGACTTGAAGATAATAATAGATTAGCAATACTGAATTTGTGTTCAATGTTTCTTTTCCTCCTTTCTTTAAATATCTTGACTTTAAGCGAAGGTCGTCCCTCGAAACCAAAAAGGCACTGAGAAACTTTCATAACCCGGCGCATTTTGATCGAGAATGTGCTCACAGTGAACACAACACAAACTCAGCTCCTGCCTCTGTCTCATAAAATCTCACCTTCCGTCTCACTTTTCCTCACCCCCTCGTTTGTAAAAATAGACCTCTCATCTCGCTCCTTATTCTAACAAGCCACTGGAGTGACACAGAGGGGGGGGGGCAAGGTTTTATGGCTGTGCAGGTACTTTTAAAAAGGAAACTAGGAGGCTCGGTAGGAAAACCTGCGAAAGACAATGCTGCCGAACTATGCAATCCCTCTGTTTCTACCGCGGCATCTTAACTGCTGTTCGAGTACGTCTCCTATGTCCTTGGCACTGTCGACACCTTCGTGGCCCCCCGTCCCCTTTTCTTCCTCTGAGGAGTACAGTTTGTGAATGCAGGGACTCGATGGTTCCAAAGTAGAGCGTGACCCAATTTAAAAAGCATTACCAGGAGAGATCTGATACAGCTCCCATCGTGTATGATCTACAGCACATCTGTTATAACGAATAAATTACATGTATTAATTTACGCGCCGCAGACCTCAAAATAAAACGAGCTTTGGTGGCAGTGTGTTACAGGAGTTTGGACACTATTTCACAGTCTTACAGTCATATTTAAGAATGCTTATGTAAATTATGATTTAAGAGGACTAAGCTTGACAATCAGTCATGCTGTTTATTTCAAGCTGGAATATCTAGAAAACGCCATCTTTTGGCTATGTTTGTACTGTACATTTCATTTTATGTTGTTTTGTATGTGTTTTGAAGTTAGGGTTGTTTTTTTTTTCTTCCCCACGTCACACTACTGATGCTTGCCTGCCTGTAGAAAAATGATCATTTTAGGTTAATATCAGGTTGCACTGTGTTAACTGGTTAGTTTTAGAGATTTTTCTCTCCTAGTTTGTTGTCATGTTGTAGTCTTACATCTTATTTCTATATGTGTTTATCTCTGTTTCATGGGGCCCAGAAATTCAATAAAACTAGATTGTATTTTGACAACAAAAGCCTTTCTTTCTTTCTTTTTTTCTCCACTACCACTTTAAAACCAAGCAGGTTGCAGAAATGAGGCTAAACTGCTGACTTATGTCTTCGTTATAGCTACTACCATTAGCACTCATACATCTTCAAATGTAAAATAGTAAAAACCAACACAATTGTATCTCATATCCCCGTATTGGGCGTTGTTTTTGGATTATTGTAGTAAATGCTGGTCCAGGTTCAACATGGCAAGTGACCAATCGCATTGTTATGATGTCATAGTTTTGCATCGTGGAAAAAGCCTGTCGATGGACTCTCAAGAAAAAATAGGATGGCAGTCAGGGTTAGAGTTTGGTGTGTGTTGTGATGGTGTTTCCACATTGCAAAACTATGACATCACAGCTATGTCACTGGTCACTTGCAGTGTTGAACCTGGACCAACAACAACACGAACACAGGGACATCATATCATGCTGTCTTTAACCGGGTGGCAGGAAGTAGAATAACACACCAGGTTACAAAAATCAAGAGGTGCACGAGTTAGCGAAAACGGCAGCTAATGACAACACTGACAAAGTCGATATCAGTTTAACGTCAACTTTGTGGTACAGTTCTGTTTGCCAGGCAGGACATGGTGGGTATAATGGGGTCCTTAGCCTCTGGGAACATCAGCGGTTTCTTTATTTTACTGTGTCCGGTGTAGTCAGGATATCCAGATAGTAGATAAGGGTTTTCCAGTTCTGGACTTTGTGCCTGCCATTGCTTATCATTGCAGTTAAGTTAATAAAATAAGTCAATAATAGTCTAAAATCTCCCTTTTTGAGACTGCCTTACATTTCCATTTTTAGACTATAGCAAATGGTTTGGAAACTGCATTTTGAAGGAACCAAAGCTGGTTTAAACTGGATTGTTGCGTAAAGCTCTGACTACAAACTGACTACACTGATCTTCTGGTACCAACAATTTTGCCCACACTTTCTGCATTTTCATGTCCAAAATTCAGTTTTAGGTGGTTACACATAGGATTATCTGTAAACCTCCAAAAGCCTCAGCAACACTTTAGGTCAACCGCTATGACTTTAACTTTTTTTTATATATATATATATTTCACTTCACTCATTTCTGTCCCACTCTGTGATCTAGATTACACTTGCATTGATCTTATCTTGCAGGATCTTATCAATGCAAATATGTATATTTTCCCACCCATCCATGGTGATCCTGGAGCTCATCCCAGGTGACACTAAATGAGAGAGAGAGCTGTACAAGTTGCAGGTCAGTCACATGACATTTTTGCAAAATGTTGAGTTATTGTTTCTGATTTTTTTTTTTTAGACCATGCAGAGTTACAGAATAGGCACTCTGACAAAAGATGACAGTGCTCGGTGCTTGAACTACTTGTGCCTCTCACTCTGTTGAGCCGAAAAAGAAGAATGCAACCCTCATGTCCCAGCAGTGTAGCTGCTCTTGACAAAAGGGCCTGAAGGGGGGAGGGGGGGTCCAATAACGAGGTTAGCGCTCTTCACTCCTCCTCCTCCTCTCACTGCTTGCATTGCCATGGTAACAATCAGAACTGCTGCAGAGGAAACAGACTTTTCATAAGTAAGATTGTGAGCAGCTGCCCAAAGCTAAACTGTAGGTAATAATGTAGATACAGAAGTGTATCCGTATCTGCCGTGAATGTATATACAATGGCAAATATCTGTACAGGTTGTTCCTGAATGGAGACGTTTTTAGGGTGTATTAAAGCATTAAAAAAACATCTTACAGACAGTTGAATGCTTACAAGCACACATTCAGTGTGAAGAAATGTTTAAGCACTCAAGTGCTCTTTTGAGTGCAGTTGAAAAGGGGCCTTAATCACTTGCCTGCTTGTTTAAATCCTTCTGCGTGTGAATGCACAGTAGGCATGTGTTCGTGTGATGCCTCACATGTGAAGGCAAAGTCACCGTGTCCTCAGGTAGGAGTGTTTTTTTTTTAAAGCGATCTGTTGCCCACCAGTTTCATTTCCAAAACACCTACTCACAGTCCCAAAACTTCAAAGCATGTCAGTAGATTTTTATTAGGAACCCACAGTGTGAACAAAACATCCATTGATCTTAGAGGATGTATGAAGCAGGGTTTTGATTTTAAAGATAAAAGATCTTCAACCAGTGATATTGAGCTTAAACACATTTAAACAAAACAGAGACAAAAACAGCAGCTAGCATGAACGAGATCAACACTGCCGTACAGACAAAGATCAAATCAAAATGTTTTGTCAAATGAGAATAAATGCACCTAGCCGCTTTTGCTGCAGTTTCCTTATCAGATTAAAATGGTACACTTTATGGACTTATACATTACACCTACAGGAGCTTCTTGGTTGTGGAAACCCATGCCATGAAGTTCTCCATGGACAGTTTTTAGGCTGATGTTAATGCCAGAGGAGGGTTGGAGGTCTGCAGTGACTGAGTCAGCAAAGTGTTTGTGACTTTGCAAACTAAACTTGTGGATGAGTTGCTGTGGAGCCCAAACACTTCTACTTTACAATAATCCACTTAAAGCTGATGGTGGAATATTTAGTAGGACAGAAATTTCATGAACTGTCTTCCTGCATCAGCAGCATCCTATCACAGTATCATATTGGAGTTCAAGGGGCTCTTTAGAATGCCCCATTCTTTCACAAATAAATAAAGGCAGTAGAGACAGACTGGGGGCCTGATTTTGGACACCTTTGGCAATGGGACTGAAAATATCTGAAATGAAAGACAAAGAGGTGTGGTTCTAAACTTTTGTATGAATGGTATGAATACAATTAGTCCTAAAACAAAATATACCCCACTACATCCCAAACCTTACCACTGTATTCTCTTCAGTATCAACCTGATTAAAAAAGGTACTTGTGATTAGGTTTGCATACCTTCTGAGATTTATGCTCCACTAAATTATAACTAGACGTTTAGAACCTGCTTAACTCTGAAGACCATTTAGTAATAAGGCAAAGAAGATTTTAAAATATCTTTATAAAATTCTAGCAGCTAATAAATTGACAGATCTTCTAAAACTGGGACTTCCCGTCTAATTGCCTCTGATTTGACAAATGTTTTCAACTGACTTGAAGAAACTTGTTTCCAGCTTGGAGATTTCTTGGATTTCATTGGTTAGTCAAAACTAAACACTACCTAGCACTGTGACGGGACAAATTCACAAATAGCTGGCGCAGGCCAATCCAGTTACATTTCTAAAAATGTGGTAATGCAAGGAGAGAGCATATGTATGAATGCTATTTTCAAAGTCAAGGTTACACAGTGTGACCCAGCTGTTTGCTTTCTCTGTTAGCACAAAAGCCTTCAAGTCAACAGGTGTTGTTTGTTTTTTTGCCCTCTTGGCCTCCTCCTCCCTCTTGCGCCTTGACCCACATTCCTCTGTACTTGGATGTGGAGGAGCAATGTGATCTCACTGATGACCCTCTAGGCATTTAAAATTTATCCCCAAGTCATATGCCTCAGAATGAATAAGCCTGCCAAGGCTTCCCGAGATGTCGAGGTTGATAGACTCAGATGGGCAGAGATTCAGCTGCCTCCAAGTCATTGCCTTGTTTATTACTTGCTTTTGCTTCTTCCAGTTTGCATTTTAGAACTGTTGAACACAATCCCTACACTAATAGACTGCAAAGTCCTTCATTTAAGACCACAACAATAAACTGCACATCCTTTGGAGCTATATCAGATATAAAGTAATAAAATGAGGACAAAATTGGAAAAAAATGTGACAATATTTGACAATATGGTAAATAAAAACATAACTGTGCCATTTTCAGACTTTTGTTGGGTGTCTGCCTGAAGCCTCATGATGTCTAGAATTTCCACCACCTAGTGATATATTACACTGTATACAGCAGCTTATTTGGTTATATGAGGAATCATGCACTCTCACGCCACTCAATGCCACATGCAAGAGGGGAGAGAGAGGCAGGAGACGAACAAATAGACAACACAGCTCTTGTCTGCAGATGAGGTAAGGTCTGAGCTGTTTCACAGTGCGAAGTCCAGCTCAAGAAGTAAGTGATCTGCAGTCGCTTTGATTCCTGAGGTGCAAATCTGAAAGATTAAAGTAGCTGTGAAGATTATAGGTCTACTGGACACTCTGGCAGTTGCTAATTCCTGCCTTGAGAAGCAGTAGGATGTATGGAAGAGAGTGATGGAGAAGAGAAGGAGACGATTGTGGGACAGGATAAGATGCTGGGTTAAAGCAGAGGTGTGTAATAAAGAAGCAGAAGAAGAAGAAGAAGAAGAAGGGGTGGAAGAGAATGGTGAGGACGCTGACAGTGAGGAAGAAGATGTGAATGAGGAAGAAAATGAAGCAGGAGGAAATCAAGATGAAGAAGAAGTGCAGGCAAAACCAGAGGTGAGGGATGCAGAGGAAACCGAAGAGGACAAAGGAGAAAGTGGTTCAGAAACAGAAGGTTCTGATTTCACAGTTTCTGAGGATAAATATTTTAACAAACACAGAAATGAAGATATCTCTGAAACTCAGACTACTCTGGAGTGGAATGGAGAATTCAACAGTGAAATATTGACAGATGAAGAAGAAACTGTCACAGAATCTTGGGTCACTAAAGAAGATCGTGAAGAAGAAGAGGAAGCTTCTACAGATGATAAGGAAACAGAACCTTCAGTGGATGAAGATGGGGATTTTAGTGATGAAGATGACATAAAGACATATTTCAAAGATGATTACCCCATACATGTTTTTCTCACCTTGAATGAATTCAGGAGTTCATCCGTTCTCACCGACCTTACTTTGAGGACAGAGGATGGGATGCGTTTCTGTGTGCACTCCCCAGTGCTGGCTGCTGTCAGTTCACTTACCTGTGATAATCTAAAAAGAAGCAAAGCAGGAAACAAAAGAGCTGATGAAAGAAAAGACGATGACACATGTGTTAGAGTTCACCCGTGGTCAATCTCTCTTGGTCCTGAGGTAGAGCATGTTGGGTTAGAGGCGATTGTGGAGTTTGCCTACACTGGAAAAATACCATTCTTAAACAAGGATAATCTGGACAAGATAAAGGCTGCTGCTCAAACACTGGGTGCACCAAGGGTTCTCGATCTCTGCACTGAGGAAGAAGAGAAGTCCACAAAAACTGGAGGGGATAAGAAAAGGGAAAGTATTTCTACTGCACAACAAATGACGATCAGCCTTCAGTCCATCCAACAGCTGTGGATGGACAGAGTGGGATGTGATGTGACTCTGGAAGCTTGTGGTAGATTGCTTCATGGTGAGTAGACCATTTAATGCTGTCTGGATGCCCACTTTAACTTTTACCTATTTGCTCAAGTAAATTTCTGTGTTGTGATACATTTTCTTTCATCCACAAGTAGGTCCTCAATCAAATTTAACATCACTTCATTCATTGCAAAAGTGACTATATTCAATATTAGATAAATGTGTATTGAGAATTTTACCATCAAATATATATTTTCTTAAGATGCATCTGTAGTTCTGCCAAATAAGTTTTCAGGTTGTTCATATTTCTGTTTTTTTGCAAGGCGACTACTGGGTGGTCCAGATTTCCATATTGTGGAACATTTGACCATCAAATAAATCTGGATTTACATTCTGCACAAAGTGTGTAGTAAACATACATTGGGCCTTTATAGGCTTCATCTTTAATGAAGTACATTATAAAACAAGCATGTGACCTGGATGTGTTAGAGATATTTACTCATTGATGTCTTTCATCTAGTCCACAGAGTTATCTTGGCTGTAAGCAGTGATTACTTCCGTGGCATGTTCACCTCAGGGATGAAGGAGTCCCATCAGCCTTTTGTGACCCTTCCCTTCCTTTTGGCATCAGAATTAGAAGTTCTAATTGGCTGCTCTTACAGTGGCGCTCTACCTATGAGCTGGCAGTGCATCTTTGAGATCACCAGCACTGCTCTCCAGCTTCAGTACCAACCTGCACTTTCCTTGTGCTACAATTTCCTGTGTCAAGAAATTAATCCTCAAACTTGTCTGGATGTGGTATCTTTTGCTGAGGCCTATGAAATGCCACAGCTTCTTGAATTTGCTGATGATTTTGTCCTCCGGCATTTCCAGATGGTGGCATGCACCTCAAAGTTTACGGACCTGTCAGCTAAAAAGCTCTTGATGTACCTAAACAGTAACTCACTTTATGTTCCATCTGAACTTGTTATATTCAAAGCCGTGGCAGCTTGGATCCAAGCAAAGCCCAGGATAAGGCTCAGACTAGCTCATGAACTCATGAAAACTGTCCAGTTTTCCTTGATGACATTCAAGGAATTCAAGGAAGTGCGATCTCAGACCATGTGGTGTAATCCCAACATGGCAGAGCTGTATAAGGAAATCTTTAAAGATTTCTGCTCCAGTGAGAGTGCACAGCATCAGTTCCGCATCTATATGCCAAAAGAGAGTCTCGTTCTGATTGGAGGTGACCAGATTTCGGAAGACCTGAGCAGCCGCAGCATCAGCAGAGAACTTTGGTTTGGGAATTCCCTCAGGAATCACATAGGGGTAAAAAAGGCATTGGAGTGGAGAAAGCTGGGAGAGATGCCTGAGCCAGCAAGATTCGGGCATGAGGTGGCTGTCCTAAAAGGACGATTGTATGTGTTGGGAGGCAAGAAGTATTATGGCATTGGTGACACCCTTAATAATGTTTACAGGTAAGAGCGGTTCATTGTCAACCCTCCAAAAGCAATAATAACATATACTTAACTGTTTCTTATATGTGCATAATTTCACCACTTGTAGATATGACCCTTGTGAAAACAGCTGGGAGTTTCTGGCTGAAATGCAAAAAAAAAGATGCTCATTTTCAGTGGTTGTACTTAATGAAAAGATATATGCCATCGGCGGACACAGTGAGACCGATCCTATAGATAGTGTTGAAAGATACTGCCCATCTACAAATTCTTGGAGGTAGGTTGGGCAGAGCATTCAATGTTCATTACCATGTCATTACATTTCTCCTAAATAAGCTGTTTAAAATTATTCAAAACTTTTCAAAATGTTGTAGTTTGCTGTCACAAATCACTCATCTTTTCTTTTTCAGTTTCACCTCACCCTTGGATCTGCCTCTGAGCGGGCATGTAGCAAAAGTTACCCAAGGACAGATCTTCATAACAGGAGGGGAAAATAATGATTACCTTTGTGTTGCATCCCTCTTTCTGTACCATCCAGAAACAGGAAGCACCTACCTGGAAAACATGGCTTCACCTCGAGCTCATCACTGTATGGAGATCTTGGGTGAATATCTTTACGTGGCAGGTGGAGTAACCACTGATGATACCACGACTATTGTTGATCAGCTATCTTGTGAAGTGTACAGTCCAGTGGCTAACTGCTGGACTGCCTTTGCATCTCTGCCAGTGCCGCATGTTGGAGCAGGAAGTGCCGTTTTGGAGGGAAGGTTTTATGTGCTGGGTGGATACAGTCAGGAGGACTACACCGACACTAAGGTGGTGCACCGCTATGATCCTGCCAGACAGAAATGGGAGAACATGGGAAAGATGCCCGGGCCAAACAATGATATCCGTGCAT